GGAAGAAGAAGTGGATAAAGTCCGTAAAGAATGGTTTTATGCTTATATGGTGTTACATATAATGCTTATATGCTTACTAAGCAATTATGTCCTTCATTTTATGCAAAAAATGGTGTTACATGATTTTATGACCACACCATTCAAGGTTAGTAAAAATCTCATAAACTCGTTATATCTTCAAAAAAATAAAAAAGGTACATTATGTTCTCATTTCTTACCATTTACTTTTAATATTTTTTTTAGTGAGAGAGTAAAGAAAGTTTCATGAAAGAGGAAGTGGATGAAGTCCATAAAGAATGGTGTGATTATGTATTATCATTTATCAATGTTGATAAACCTTCAGGTTAGACATTGTTAGTTAAATGTAAATATATAAGGAACAAAGTGTTATAATATTTTGAACATGCCATGTTGAATGGAAACTTTAAGTTTGTACATTGGGGTATTGGTTTAACATTATTGTTATACTTAATATGAATACATTATATGTACTTAATAAATTATTGAGTACGATTATTTCAAAAAAGTATATTAATATGGCAACGTTATCAATTTTAACTTCGGATGTGTGGTCAATTTATTGAAATACAACAATGTTCATTATATAAATTTTAAAATGTAATTCGTAGTATCATATATAAAAACCAAATGTTTTCTGAGCATTAATATATAATTGACAGCAAATATTTTCTGAGCATAAACCTACAATTGACTTGACATATACAATATCAAATATATTTTTTTGATTGAATTATCGAAGGCATTTTTAGTAAGAAAACGCCTTGAATCATCCCTAATAGAAAAATTTGAAAGCGTTTTTAACCAAAACCATCTTCGAGAATCACTCCAAAAATTAATTGTATGGAATATTAAAGGCGTTTTGGAAAAAAAAATGCCTTTAAGAATCCGTCGCGCTTTTTTTGCATGGATTATTGAAGGCTTTTTAAAAATATACCTTCAATAAAACCAACTAAAAATTAATCGAATGGATTATGAAGGGTGTTTTCCTATGGGTAACGCCTTTAACAATCCATAACAAAATATTATTGAAAGCGTTTCTGGATATAACCTCCTTCAATAATCTGACCATCAAAATTTATCGTCTAGAATATTAATGACATTTTTTTACCAAAATCGTCTTCAATAATCCCACAAAAAATTTATTGTATGGAATATTAAAGACGTTTTTGGTAAAAAATGCCTTCAAGAATCCATCAAGTCTTTTTTGTATAAATTATTGAAAACGTTTTAATAAAACACATTTAATAATACCAACTAAAAATTAATCGAATGAATTATGAAAGGTGTTTTTTTACAGGTAACGCCTTGAATAATCTCTAACAAAATTTTATTGAAGGCATTTATGGATATAATCGCCTTCAATAATTCGACCATTAAAAGTTTCATTTAGAATATTAAAGGCGTTTTGAGCCAAAAATGCCTTCAATCATCCGTTCAAATTTTTGGCTATGGATTATTGATGGAGTTTTGACAAAAATTACCATTAATAATCACAAAAAAAATTTTATTGATTGGAATATAGAATGCGAGTTCGATAAAAAAACACCTTCAAGAATCGGCTCCATATTTTTCTTATGGATTATTAATGGTATTTCTCTATGAAAAACGCCTTCAATATTCTCTAAAAATTATAAGGCATTTAGTATTCACTGAAAATTTTAAGGTAGGATTATTCAAGGCATTTTAGTCAAAAAATGCCACTGATATCAAGTCTTGGGTGACGTTTATAAGTAATAACGTCGCTATTTGAATATTTAGCGGCATTTTGATAATAAACGCCTTAAGTTTTATAAAAACACGAAAGCTAGCGGCATTTGTAAGTGAATGGCCATTACAAAACTGTCGCTAATACGCCATTTTCTTATAGTGATAGTTTGTAATTATCAACATTTTTTCCTCTACAGGTCCTTGAATTTCTTTACAAAAGACTCTAACAATTGTGTTGTAGTTACTGCAGGCTATCCTTTTATACTGGCCTTACAAATCATCAATTTATGAGCCAAAGTTATCTTCTCAATTGGGATTTCCATTCCTAACTTAACTTTTGCAACTATAAATGCATCTAGATTTGCTAGAATTTCATCAAATTTAGTAACCATTACTTGATTTTCAACCTTTGACAGAAAAAGAATGTTGATTCCATACTCTCCTAGTAGTTTTCTAATCTTTACAGGGCCTGAATCTTTTCGAGCAAAAGATAAGCCGATCATAGCTATCTTATGTGGAACACCAACAGTATATGAGCTCAACATCCGAATCGTGGTGAAACAAATGCATGACATTGATCAAGCTTAAGATCAACAGAAAGGACAGCATCTGATCAAGTAATAATCAAAATGCTAGGATGCCAATTGAAATCAATATTTAGTTGTGTACAAGTCTTTTAACCACTCGAATCATTCCATAAAACTCTCAACTCACTTTCTTTAATATAACCTTTGAGTCTTTGACAATAAACATCAAACTTCAAATCAAACAAGAACAATGCACCATTCTCTAAAGAAACCATATTTTCTTCAAATAACTGCGGATTACAACAAAAACAAAACATTTTAACACAATACCCAACAATAGAATCACTTGAAATTCCTTTGAACTTATTCAAAAACTTAGAATCGTTGTCTGATTTGACAATGATGGCTTGTCAATCAAGCTCTTGAACCTCTTATAGTTGCTTTGGTGCATCAATTTTCATCGACATCTAGTATGTCTACGATGACCCAAGCTCTATCGACTAGTCTGTTGGTGAGTCATGTTCCACCGGATCAATAGTCTCTGACTCACCCATGACAGTGTAGGTGGAGCTCTGATGATAATGTTCTTTTCCAATCGATCCATTTGAAGCTATAGATCATAAATAAAAGATCTTTGATTGTTGATGAAAGAGGTTAAAGTAGAGCTTTTATCGTCAATTTTAGATTCTAATGCATGTCGTAAGTCAAGTATTTGGGCAGTGAAAGAAGCAGTAAGGTTGCGAAGGGTTTCTTCTATAATAAAGTTTGGTTCTAGAGGCATGGTGGATGTGAAAGGGCAAAGAAAGCACCAATGATAGAATTTGCAAGAAAAAAAAAGAGAAAGAAGAGCAAAAATGGCAAAGAAAATGAGAACAGAAAAGAGAATATTGATAAAAAAAGGCAGCTAGTACAAGTAACGACTTCCCAACAACTATCTAGCTATTGGTTTTAATTATCTAAGGCAAGGATTCAAATAGCGGTCTAATAGTGGTGTCGCGACTGCTATTTCGCGGTCGCGCCACTATCCGCCACCGCTATTGGAGAAAAAACAGGGGAGAATTTGAATCTCATCTATAGCGGATGAATCGAGGCCGTGAATTGTGGTATAACGGTGAATAGCGGCAATAGTGGTCTGCTATTGCCCATTATTGCCGCTATTCCTATTTTCATTCAAAAATTCAAAAAAAAATTCATTTGATTTTATTTAAAAACTTAAAATAAAAACAACAAGAAAGAAAATAAACATCAATTTACAAATTCAGAAAAAAAAACCCACAAAACTTAAACTTTCAAAAAAATCAATTCTCTCAAGTTCAACTTCAATCAAAATCAAGTATATGCAATTTAAAGTAAACAATTAATTCAACACTCAAATTATCTTTTTTTTTAATTTCCAAATTTGCTATGATTTTATGTGTTTGGGATTAGATTGGGCTATGTTACATTGATAGAAGGAGGCAAAAGTTGCTGGGACTTAAAATAAGAGATAAGAGATGAGAGTGAAACTTGAGGTTTACAGAAGCAAGCAGATAGCACACATCAAATAAAAAGAGAACTGAGAGATAGGGATGAGGATGAAGGTTTGGAGAAAAAAAATTATTGAATACAAGGTGAAGAGATAAGAAGTTGTGTGGGTTTGTGCCATTTAGTCAAAAGACAAGAGAAGTAGACTTGAGGTTATTATTATTGAAAATCGACCATAACATAGAGGCTGTCAAGTTTGATTTACTGTAAGTTCATAAAAAGCAATTCTTTTGACTCATAAATAATAATGCTCTTACTTAATTTATGAATACCTAATCACTTATTATTTGATTTATGCATAATATAGTTCGGTAATAATTTGATGAGTATGGTAATTAAATAATTAAATATATTATTCGTTATGATTATTTATTTTTCACATATTTATTTATCTCTTTTTATTTTTTAATTATCATATAAATAATTTTTAAAATATGAATATTTTGCTATAAATATTTTTTTTAAATAAATAAAACACATGATATGATATAAATTATTTTAAAAATCATAAAATAAGAGGTTTTATGATTAATAATTAAAATTACTATATTTTATAGCAAGTTGAGCAAAATTTTAAAAAATTCACAACCGCAATAGCAACAATGACCGCGAAGGTTTCCGTTATATTCGCAACCGTGACAAATGTGATACGATCGAAAACGTGACCGTTACCGCAATTTAAAATCTTGATCTAAGGTCATTCCTATTTGTAACTTCTCAAGCATTTTCACTTTCCTCCCATTACAAAAATCTTTGATTCAAGCAAGGCTCATCAAATTTGTTTAAAGCCTTGGCCTCCGTTTGTAAGCCCCATGCCTTTAACTCAGGTTTGTATCAATCATTGCCAGGTATGAAAATATGAGAATTGGAATGCTCTGTGAGTTAGTTTGGATTTCAATTTATTATGTAATTTTTTTATATATTTAATGGTAAAATAGATAGTAAAAACTATTTATTTAGAACAAGAGTGAAATAAATTGTTCATTCCATCAAAATTCTTATTAAACTTCAGGAAAACAAGGATTTAGGATTATTTTTCACACTATTAAAAATTTTTAAAAATCCCATTGCGAAAACTAAATATAAAAATCAAATTATCAAAAATAAAAATCATGACAAAAATCTTATTTTCCTTTAAAACAAATCCCATTAAAAGGTTTTCTTTTTTCGTGTAAATGAGATTCTTAATATTTGGACGAAAAATAAAAAGAAAAATTCTTAAAGGACTAGAGTGAGTGAGGACGTGGCAATTTTATCGCCCATGTATTTGACAGTTTGCAGTTGACTCTTGGCGTATCCTTTATCCGTTGTTTCTTCCTCAAGCTTCTTTTCTCTGATTTTCTTTCTGTTTTCTCTTTTTCATGCTAATTTCTACTCTGTTTCTTATCTGATGCCGGTGTCCGATTGCCTGACCGAGTAAGATTCGGGGGGCCGGATTCTCATCCGCAATTGGCAATCTAATGGATTCCCCGATTCGGATCAACAACGCGGCTATGTAAGAATTCGATGTTGTTGATACAATCCTTGTAATATTTGTTTATTATGACTATTTTGTTTCATTTCTTCATTAGTAGTTTAGTTTTGTGAAAAATGTATGCGTATTGCCCTTTAATTAATTTATCCTTCTACTCGGTGAAGGTCCTGTAAATTCAGTGGAAAAGAAAAACAAAGAGCTTAAGGGAAATTAAAAGAGAAGAACGTGGAAGTTTAATTTAAAAAAAAAAATTGGAGGATGGATTTTTTTTTTTTTGATCTTATCTTCAAATTCGATGAAATTTTGGGTTTCTTGCAGCAGATATTTGTTTTTTCATGGTCAAACAGAGAGAAATATATATATATATATATATATTTTTACTATGAAAAATATTTATTTATTTAAGAAATATTGAATTTAATATTTTTGCCTTCAGGACAGATATAAACTTGCTGCTGAATTAAAGGGACAGAATCAATTTTGTTTTAATTATTGATTTTAATAAATTAAAGAAATAAAAAATAAGTAAAAAAGTTAATCTTATTTTTTAGATTTATTAAAAGTAATATCTAAAAAAATATAAAATTAAAAATTTTTTATTGATATAAATTAGTTTTTTTAAATTAAATATATATTATACATTTTTATATATAACGCGCGATCGGGACCACGTCGGCTCTGAAATCGTTCTGCAATCGTACGATGAGCTAGCCACCGTCAACTAAGGCGGCGCCGCTTGTCGGCGGGTTTACGAAATTAAGTTGACCAAAATTTAATGATTACCGACTTAAAAATTACCGACTTATGAGTCGTTATTTATAAATATGAAGACACCTGCGTGCATGATATATTTGGGCTTCCTTTGCAGTTCACGTGGTAAAAGCATATGGTTTGTACGAGCGTTCATTCAATGGAGCCAACCAAAAGCAGTTTCCTTTTGCGTAAACAGCAGAAGGTGGGTAACTCTAACCCATCCTTTCATGATTATAATGATAACCATCGCTGGTTTGTATATTTTCTTTTTTTATTTGATATTGTACATACAAAGGTTTTATGGATGGTCTAAAATTTTGATCTTCACTAACAGGATTAGAATATCGTAGCATATTTCATTCTCTTTTCGTTAAATTTTTTAGTTTCTTTTAAATATGTCCCAATGAAATATGTGAAAATCTTCTAATTTCGCTGATAAAACTTTTAAACTTAATTGACAATGAAAATCTTTTATTTTTTTTCTATCATGTATCTATTATGTGTATGTATATATTATAAAGTTCAACCATATATGATACTATGCTTTTAGAAAACAACAAATGAACCGCAAAATTACATAGTTTAGGTATTATTATATCATTCAATTACGGCTTGTATTTTAATGTATGTTAGTATCATGAAATTTGTATATAATAATTAAATTATGTTTGTTACACTATATTTGCATTTCTTAAGAAAGAACAAGAAATTGTCATGCAGTGAAATTGTTTTATATAAAAAAAGTAAAACTAAGTATTAAATGAATATGTCAAGGGTGAAAATCAAATCATCGTATAAAATGGAAACTTATGAAAAGTAAAAATAGCAATTAAAGAGTATTGAAAATTTTTTAAGAGCACTTTAAAGATTGAGTAAATAGTTTGAAAAACTTAAGAGGGTGGAAGCTAAAATAAATAACAAAGCAAGAAAAAGCTTTGACGGCTTGTGTTCAAACCACAAAATATCATTTTCTTAACCCTTTCTTCTCTCTTTACATTTTGGTTACTACTTTCTATTAATTATTAATGTTATAACTTGTAGTATTAGAATTTAGAAGATAAGTCCACAAGTTTTAAAATTTTGATAAAATCTTTATAAATTACTAGCTCTGATTCTTATTCATACGGACTGTTTAATTATGTGTGAAGAGAGTGAATTCATCAAAATATATGAGGAAAGATTTAAAAGGTTGAAAGCAGAGATGAAAGACATAAGCAAAGAGCAGCAAAGCATTAAGGAAGGGCAAAGGCAAGTTCGAGCCAAACTCGAAGCAATCAAAGAAGAATGCAATCAGCTACAGAAGGAAACTAACCAAATTATCCAACAAAGTGCCAACACTCAAATACGTCTGGGTGTGATGTTCAATATCTTAAAGGCCCGAGAACAAGGTGATTTCGACAAGGCTGCTCAATTAACTCGGCTACTTCGGTAAAGGAAATCGTTTCTTGTTCTTTTTTATTGATAACTTGATGCAATTTTCCTTAAACTTATTGTAAAGTTTTTTTTTCCAGGGAAATAGTAGCCAAAGACAATTGCAAAAACAAAGCATGCCTATAGTAGTTCAAAGATCAAATTTGAACTTTTCTTTCTGAGGAGATGGTATCAAGTTTATCAAAACAAAAAAAAAATATTTAGTCTGCATCGATCGTCAAGGCCAAAAATGAAAGCCAATTAAACTTTTAAATGTTATTTTTATCAAACTTTAATATTTTTTTAAGACATTTTTATATGTAAAATTCCTTATATGTACTTGAAGGGTTGTTAAGTATTGTCTATAAATATATGATGTAAACAATCAGAGTGTGATGTATTCTTATTGTTTTGCAATAAAATTCCTTTCTTATGGCAAAAAAAGTGTAGCAATTTGGATTATTCCCCGAAAGTGATTAAGCATTCCACTTGACAATAGGTGAAAGATTCAATTTAAATATAAGATCATATAAATTTTAAAATGGTCTTCATTAGGAATTACATAAAATTTGTGTTTTGATATCATGTCAAGTATCAAACTTAAAATCAAATGATAGAAGATAAAGGAACAATATTTAAGAGATGTGAGATAACATCACTTTAACATAAGTAACTAATTAGTTCTTAGTCTTTTTGTCTCGTAAAAAGATTTCTAATTAGGTATATAGGGTTCTTATGAAAGGCTTATTATGAAATTAGGATTTTAGGCAAATACTACATGTGATCAAATGTGGAACAAGAATGGTATTGTAAATGCTGCAATAAATCGATATATTCTATGGCAACATTGTAAGGTTTTTAAACTTAAAAGAAATATGATGTCGCTAAACAATGATCTTAATGAAAAATCTATAGCTAAACTTAAAACTTTTGCAAATTGGTTGTTAGACATTGATGATGGCAAGATTGAAACTGTTTCATATGAAGATGAAGATGAAGTATCATGGATTAAGATACTTGATGACTTATTAAATTTTGCTTTGGGCGTTATATTAATGCTATATCCTTAGCAGTTTATACTGATTTTCAATCTAATTTTGCTGATTCATTTTATTTAAGCCAAAGAGCAGTTATTACACCATACAATAACATGATTGATTCTATTAATGCTCATATAGTTACTAAGTTCTAGGATTTAGCAAGTGCTATTATAGTTCTAAAACAATTTCAAAATAATCAAATTCTTTGTCAGATATAGATTTGTTATACCCTCATGAATTTTTAAACTCTTTTAAATTTCCTAGCATCCTAAATCTTGAGCTTAACTTAAAAATTGGCTAAGTTATATTGCTTCTTCGAAAATTAAATCAAACTATTGGTTTATGTGATGGAACAAGACTTTTGGTCACCTAATTAGCTTGAATGTCATAAAAGCTAAAATTATAATTGGTGCTCATGCTGGTGAAAAATTTTTTATACCTAAAATTGTCATGACAGTTAAGGATAAAAAAACTACCTTTTCACCTTTTCTCTTGAATAGAAAATAGTTTTTGGTCAAATTATGTTATACTATGATAATAAATAAAAGTCAAGGGCAAACATTAGACATTGTTGGTTTATACTTGCCCAAACCTGTATTTACACAGTTAATTATATGTTGCTCTTTCAAGAGTGATATCTCGCATTGGTTTAAAAATTTTGATCCAAAATGAACGTGGCATAAATATTTGACAACTTGGATAAAAATTGTTACAAATTAAATTTCGTTGTTTTTATATGTCTTGCACATAGTTTGTTTTTTTCGGTTCTTTCTTAGAAAAGTTTTTATAGTTGGAAATCACGATTGTTATAGTGATGATAATTGCATTACTTCCTTTCCGAACTTTGTTATGTCTATATTGAAAATGTTTAATGGGTGTGTGACATATCTATGGTCCAAAATTTGTAGCATGTAAATAGTCTGTAACACCTAAGAAAATATTTTATTTTTATTGGTTTATCACATGGAATTGATTTGTAAATCGATCAAGTAATATGTATTTTAAATCATACTATCTTTCTAAATATATTAGTTTTTTTTAGTTTGTTATTATGATTGTCCTTTTTTATTTGTCCATGTGTTTGAAACTAATTACTAAATCCTACAAGCAATATTATGCATCTTAAAGCTTAGTATCCTTCTAAATTTATTAGATTTAGCATATTTTCAATTATGATTATTCCTTTTTCTTCTTTTTCTCTCATGTGTTTTAATTGGTTATAATCTATAATTACTTTATATTTTATAAAGTTGTTTTTTATTTCTCCTTCTTTGATACTTTGTATCATATATTGGACTATAAATTACTGTTTTTTATTCACAAACTATACTTTTTTGTTATAGTTGATAAACTATGACTTATTGCCTTTTATCACAACTATCACGAATCAATGATAATCAATCATAAAAGTCAGAGTAGCATGTATTTGGGATTCGATAAATCATAAAACAAATCAATTGATGACTTCAGATTTTCTTACTATAGATACTGAGGTACAAACAAAGTTTAAATAACCAAATAATTTTACATAGATTGTTTTATATAATACTTTAATACCTTTTATAAACATTCTAATTTTTTTTCATAATAATACCATGCATGTTGTGATCAAAAGTTTAGAAGTAGAAAATTTTAAATCAATGCTCAAAAAAGTGATGTATATGCAATCTCAGGATTTTAATAAGTAGACTAAAATCATCTTTTAATGCTGTGCTTGGACAAAATAAATCACACTTATCAAAAAAACATAAATCAAGAAAATAAATGATAACTCAACTGTGTCTCCTCAACATTTTATCACCATCCAGCCATATGATGCACTGAATGAAAGAATATATGAAGACAAATATATGACAGGTAATTTAATCTCTATTGTCTTTCAATACTTGCCTATTACGTCTATTATATCCTTGTTTATTTTTCGTCTTTACTAACTTTAATGCCTTCAAAACCAACTATTTAAAGATGTCATTGATCTACTGAGATATAGATCCTATTTAAAGTGTTGAAATGTAATCAAATAAATGAGTAGTTGACAAGCATATCTAATTATCTAAGAACTCTAGTTAATAAAAGTCTTTAAATTAACAAATGTACACTGCCTTTGTAAAGAGATTTTTCCTCCTTGATGTTAATTAATTCAATATTAAATTAATTGATGGCCATGTCATCCTTTTTTATAAAGAGATTCTTTTAATTTTCTAAATATAATAGCAAATTTAATGTTAAAAATGATTATACCAAATCCCAAAAATCTTGTCAAACATCTTTGCTCTTTCTCCTTCATGGAGTTTTTTATTTTCTAAGATAGACCCTAGCTATCACAGGCTTGGAGCTCTAATCCTATGTGGCAACAAGCAATGACAGAAGAGCTTCAGACTCTTGAGAAAACTCATACTTGAGATATTATTGAACAACATTTTGATAAGTTAGTGATTGATTGTAGGTGGATCTATAAGATTAGTACTCGATCCGATGGGTTAGTGGAATGTTACAAAGCTTGTCTTGTTGCTCGAGGGTTTATACAAGAATATGGCATTAACTATGAAAAGACTTTGTCCCAGTTGCACGTCTCACATTTGTTCGTTCACTATTAGCTATTGCTGTAGTTAAATGTGCCCAACCTTTCAAATGGATGTTAAAAATGCATTCTTAAATGTCGATCTTACTGAAAAAGTCTACATGAAGCCAACTCTCGATTTATCTACATCTAGTAATCATGATTCTACTATTTTTACTTGAACTACTAAAAATAGTACTACTCTTCTCTTACTTTATGTAGATGACATGATCATTATGGATAATGATGTAAATGGTATTTAAGATATGAAGACTTTTCTTCATTCTAAGTTTGAGATTAAAGATCTTGATTCTTTTAGTTGTTTTTGGAACTTAAAATCACTAGTGATTCTACTGGCTTACATTTGTCTTAAACAAAGTATGCTTATGATCTTATTGCTCAGGTAGGTTTAATTGATAACAAGATTGCATCACCTCTTGAACAGAATTTGAAGTTTTCTCCTTTTGATGGTACACCACTTTTAGACCCTTCTTTTTATCGAACTTTAATGGGTAGTTTAATATACTTGATAGTTACTCACCCAGATATTACCTATACTGTTTATTTGGTTAGTTAATTTCTGTTTGCTTCTTGATCTACTCATTTTGTTGTTATCCTCTAGATCCTACGATATGTTAAGGGCACTATGTTCCATGGTTTGCATTTTTTCTTTAGTTCCTCTACAGACTTGCATTGTTATTGTGATGTTGATTGGGTAAGAGATTTTATTGATTGTTATTCTACCACAGGCTACTGTTTCTTTCTTGGTTCTTCTTTTATTTCTTGGCAAAGTAAAAAAGCAAACTTTGGTGTCCTGCTCTAGCATTGAAGCTGAGTATCAAGCTTTTACAGATGCCACATCAAAACTTCTATGGTTATAATGGTTACTTCAGGATATGGGTATTTTTCATCACTCTATACTCCTATATTTTGTGATAATCAAAGTGCCATTCAGATAGCTCACAATGATACTTTTCACAAGCGTACTAAATATATTGAAATTAACTATCACTTTATTCATCACAATTTGCTTGCTTAAACTCTTCCACTTGTTCTTATTACCAGTGTTGATCAAAAAATAGATATCTTCACCAAATCATATCCAGCTGGTCAATTTATTTTTCAAATTTTCAAACTCAAGTTGGCCTCTACATTACCATCTTGAATTTATAGAGGGAGGTGTCAATGATATTCTAATATTCTAGATTGATGATATTATTTTAATAATATTTCAGTAATATTCTAGATTGATTTGATATTAATTTAAAGAGTATTAGATATTGATTAGGTAATTATAATAATTGATTTAATCATTAATTTTATTTATTGCATTATCTATTTTGTAACATTTTACTTCTATATAAATAAGTTTTAAATTTCATTATAAAACATAAATCTTTATAATAAAGTTTGCATCATTATTTTTCTTTTTCAATATAGATGTAATCAACACTATAAATTGGTATGCATCACAACCAAGCTGGCAAACAAAACCCACAATAACTCAAAGTAATTCATGCACTCTCACCAAAGCTAATCTATTATTTCTCTGTAACTTCCTCTTTGCTTCTCCAAAGCTAATCTTTATTCTTTGTACTTGATAGAAAAGACTTTTCTCAAGCATAAAAAAATGGTTGCCATGCCTAAAATTGCAACTGGCAATGGTCACGGTGAAAACTCTCATTACTTTGATGGATGGAAGGCATACGAGACAAATCCTTTTCATCTCATAGACAGACCTGATGGAGTCATTCAGATGGGTCTTTGCAAGTGTGAAGAAAAAACTCAAACTCAAGTTAGGCAATTCAAATTTGAGCTCTTGTATGCATCTAATCTCCATTGTCTAGTCATTTTTTTAAAATGAAAAGACCGAAACAAGAAAAGCAAGAAGAAAATGTCAGAATGATGCATTACCCTAGATAATAAGGAGTGAGAACCAGAAATGCTTCACCAGGATCTGCCAAGCAAAAGGCAACCATCTCATGAGCTCCGGTTGCTCCAGCGCTCATAACAATGCGGTCTGGATCAAATTGTACTCTATTATTCTGACATTCATGTTTTGCCAATGTTTGATGCGTGGATTTTTTTACTTTTAGAGACGTTAGTTATTATTATTATTATTTTTACATTCATGCTTTGCCAATATTTGATGTCGGTACAAAAGGGAGATGTGGAATTGGGAAATTGCGATGTTTCACTGAACTTAAAGAAGGAGAATTGGCAATATTTAATCTCCAGAATGTTAGAAACGAAGAAGAAGCTAGGGAAGCTAAACTGAAGAAGAACTTAAACAAGTTGAGATACAAATGGGTGTACTCTAGAAGTGAAGGTTGCAATAACGATGAGGAAGTATTGGAAGGATTGAAGGCTCACTCAAATTTGAAAAACTTAACGATTGAGAATAAGG